GCCGGGACGAAGCACCAGAAGGACCTCCAGGCCTAGCACCACCAAACTCCACACGAATAGGCCCAGCACCCTCAGGCTCCGCACCCCCAGACTCAGCAACCCCAGGCTCAGCACCCCCAGATTCAGCACCCCCAGGCTCAGCACCCCCAGACTCAGCACCCTTAGGCTCCGCACGCTCAGGCTCAGCACCCCCAGACCCAGCACCCACAGGCTCAGCACCCCTAGCAGCACCAGAGTCAACAGCTACCTCGACAGGCTCGACCGCGTCTACCTGGGACACACCTGAGGGGGCAGGACCCTGGTGGGGGAGGGGGTCTACCGGGGGGGGACCTGGCACGAGGAAGAGCGGCGGGGGGGGGAAGGGGAGCAGTGCGGTAGGGGAAGAGACGGTAGTAGGGAACCTACTCGTCAAACATGACATCATGAGAGGACAGAACACGGCGCGAGGTGGGGTGGTAGAACTGCCAACCAGGCGCGTTAGGGGGGAAGCCAAGGAAGCGCAGGGAACAGCATGGGAGGACAGCTTGTCCGCAGACAAGTCGCGGACGAAAGCTCGAGATCCCCACACACGGAACGCAGACGCATCGCCAACCTTCCCCGTCCATCGCAGAGCAGGGGAGGTCTCCGGCATGGAGACCCGGGGCTGAAGGTTGACCTGATGTGCCGCGTACTGAAACGCAAACGGCCACAGAAAATGGGGAGCAGCCGCATGGATCATGGACATACGAGCGACGTCCATGACCATGCCAATGCGGCGTTCAGCAATCCCATTTTGCTGTGGAGAGGCCGGAAGCGTGAACGTCTGGCGGATGCCCTCCGCACGACAGTAGGCTCGCAGAAGGTCGGAGGAAAACTCTCCGCCTCTGTCGGAGTGCAGATGTAGAACAGGAAAGTCCGAGTCGAACCTCTCCCTGAGCTGGAGACGGGCAGCGCGGATCCAGTCGATCAACACCTCAGAGACCTCACCCTTGCTGCGCAAGGGGAAGACTTTGGTGTAAAGCGAGTAGTCGTCAACCACCAGCTGGAAGTAACGCTCATGACCCTGTCCACAGACGCGGGCGGGGCCCCACACGTCCATGTGGAGAGTCTGCAGCGGAGCCTCTGTCGGAGGAAACTCGGAGGAGTGAGGAGCGGCGCGCTACCGTCCCTCGACGCAGGGAACGCAGGTAGGGGCAAGCCCCAGAGGAAGGGGAGGGAGGGACCTGGGGAGACCAGAGACAAGGACACGGGAGGCCATGCCTCGGAGACAAGGCAGGGAGGGGTGACCAAGGCGGTGGTGCTAGAGGAGAGTCTGGTGGGATAGTAGGCGACACGAGAAGGGGGCAGGCTTAGGACTAGACCGAGACGCTGCAGCAGACACCTGACCCAACGCAGCTACCTGACCAGACGTAGTAACCGAAGGAGACTCGGTTGTCAATGTGTACAGGCTCGACCCCGGCTGACGGGTAAACGTGGCCAAGTGTCGGCCCATCCGAGCACACGTGCAGTGGGTCACTCGTTGACTCGCAGGAGTGAAGTGGTCAACCCCTCTATCCTGCAGGTCAGCACCACTCACAAAGTTCGTAGAGAACGAGGGGAGGTAAAGACCTGACAGGAAGCCAGACCCGGCCGCCGGACACGGTAGCACTGTGGAGTAGTGAGCAAGGACAGGACCCCCAGTGGGGTCTGCCAGGGAGACTGCAACCGGTCGACTAAGCGGCGTGAGGGTGTTGCGATCTCGAAAGAAGGAGCGGGAAGCACCCGAGTCAAGGGTGAAGGTGTGCAAGACCGCAGCAGGCGCAACACCAGAGAGAGCAGACTCACAAGCACCTAGAGCAGGAGACTCACTGGCTCCTAGAGCAGCAGCCTCACCGCCACCGACACCTGGAGCAGGAGACGCACGAGCACCTAGAGCAGCAGCCTCACCAACACCTAGGGCAGCAGAATGGATACCGGGGTCAGGCGGCACACAAAGGTGACAGGTACCCTCAGCACTAGTACACAATGCATACATTGCAGTGAGAAGAGCATCATAGTCAAGAGCAATGATATCTACCCTCTGCCTAAGCAGCTGCAGCCAGGAGGGGAGCTCAGCGTCGTCGCCAAAATCTGTACGCCAAGCGTTGCTCAGACGGGCGAAGCAGCGGGACTCTGTGTGACCAGGAGTCCCGCAAGGATGACCAGTCCGTACACCCGTGCAAATGACGTACGGGCAGCGAGAAGTACTCAGTGACCCTCTACTCTGAGCGTACCACTCGCGAAGCTGCTGGGGCGAAAGGGTCTCGCGCGGAAGACGCTGCAGCTGCACCTGGCCACTACAAGAAGTTCCCGAACTACTCACTCGAGGACGACTCCCACTACGGCCACCCCAACAACCCCAACTAGCGTACCACTCACGAAGCTGCTGGGGCGGGAGAGACTCACGCGGACGTAGCTGTAGCTGCACCTGGCCACCGCCATAAGTAGCAGTAGCAGTAGTAGCAGTAGAAAGAGCAGTAGCAGCAGGAGCAATAGTAACAGCAGTACGGGCAGGGCAGTGCTCACCAGTGGCGAGAAGGGCAGGCATACGACGGCGATAACGGCGAGGCCGCTACTACTGCAGGGCGAGGGCTCTGCGGCAGCTGCAGGGGCGGCTGCTCCAAGGGCGGCTGCTGCAGGGGAGGCTGCTCCAGGGGCCAGAGGCGGCTGCTCCAGGGGCCAAGGGCGGCTGCTCCAGGGGCCAGGGGCGGCTGCTGCAGGGGCGGCTGCTCCAGGGGCCTGGGGCGGCTGCTGCAGTTGCGGCTGCTCCAGGGGCCAGGGGCGGCTGCTGCAGGGGCGGAAGGGGGGGGGGCAGGGGCGGTCGTCGGAAGGTCGGGCGCGGGTTAGGGCAGGGCGCCGCGGCGGGCAAGGGCGACGCCGCGCGGGTCCCGCAGGGGCGTCGCGACGAGCGAGGGCGACGCCCAGGTCCCATTGGGGCGTCGCGACCTGCAGGAGCCGCGCCTCGCGGGTCCCATTGGGGCGTCGCGACCTGCAGGAGCCGCGCCTCGCGGGTCCCGCAGGGGCGTCGCGACGAGGCAGGGACGACACCCAAGTGGCGACGGGGCGGGGCCGCGACTGGCGACGAGGCGGGGCCGCTACGGGCAACGGGGCGGGGCCGCGAAGGGGCCGCGAAGGGGCCGCGAAGGGGCCGCGAAGGGGCAGGGAAGGGGCCGCTAAGGGGCCGCGAAGGGGCCGCTACGGGGCCGCGAAGGGGGGGGGGGGGGGCGCTAAGTGGCCGCGACAGGCCGCGAAGGAGCCGCGGAGGGGCCGTGAAGGAGCCGCAAGGGGCCGCGAAGGGCCGTGAGAGGGGCCACTAAGGGCCGCGAAGGGGCCGTGAGAGGGGCCGCGAAGGGGCCTTACGAAGGGCGCGGCGGGGCGCTAAGGGCAGGGGACGCGACGGGAGAGCAGGCGCACGGGGCGCGACTAGGGCAGGCGCGAAGCGCGCTTCGTGCAGGTAAGGAAAAAAAAATGTTTTAGTGGTGGGCCCTTGGACACGTTCCCACTAGGGAACCTGCTCTGATACCATGTGAAATATTGAGGAATGAATGAACTAGAACAAGGGTGGGTACAAGTAGGAAACCCTAGGAAATTGTACCCCTTAGTGTCTACCCCACTATAGCATAGACAAGCTATATGATGAATGTTTGACAGTTACCATGCATTGGCCTGTGCGAGTTTGACAAGCCCATAATGAGTTTTGCAACACATCCCCGTCGAAAATACGAGCACAGGGGGTAGGCTATTAGGAAAGCCCAGCCTACGTGCTTGTAATTCGGGTTTCCAAATCGACGTTAGTTTCTGCCCATGCTCTCTCGCTATTCCCAATCTCTTTACCTATGAGAGGAAACCCCGCAATCTGAGTATTTTTTCCGAGCTCCGCGACAAAGGTCGGCGGAAGTGGACAACGTGCAGAGGACATTTCCTGGCAGAGACAAGGTGGTTGGGGGAAATAGTCCCAAGGCCAGGCGCGGCGTACGGCGGATAAAAGAGGGCGTCAGGCACGCGCAGTAGTGCGTGGTTCCGCGCACGGCGGAACGGGCCTCGTTGAGAGATCTATCGGGTGCTGTAGGCCGGGCCGGAGGGATGGTAGCGCGGGGGCGGAGGTCGAAAGGGGAAGGGCGAGGGTTGTTGCCAACAGACGGCGATATATCTAACCAGTCCTTAAATCTGCTATCCCAAATATCCAGTCAAACCTAGATTGAATAACTCACTCCACAGTGCAGCCGCTCCCTTCATAACTTCCCTTGCCCCCCAACAGTCGCAGTGAAACTTGATTCCGACTTGCATGAATCAAGGGGGCCACCAGCGCCGTGCTTTCTAATTTCCGCGCTAGCGCGCACCTACCCACCATCGCAGCGCGATCTCAACTTCGCGGGCAATCTGCTGCTGCCGTGTAAGATCCGCCGATTGCCCTCTCTTCTTCCCGTCGCTCTCCCTTCCCGTCGTGCTCCCTTCCCGTCGCCCTCCCTTCTCCTCTGCCTCCCTTCCCGTCGCCTTCCCTTCCCGTCGCCTACCCTTCCCGTCGCCCGCGCTTCTGTTCCGTCGCCGTCCGTTCGTCTCGTCGCCCTCCCTTCCGCTCGACCGCTGCTCTCCCCGTCAATTCTCTCCCCGTCGCCCACGCGTTCCCTGTCAATTCACTCTCCGTCGCGCTCGCTTTCCCCGTCATTTCTCTCTCCGTCGCGCTCTCTTTCCCTGTCATTTCTCTCTCCGTCGCGCTCTCTAACCCCGTCATTTCTCTCTCCGTCGCGCTCGCTTTCCCCGTCCCCCTGCCATCCACTGCTCGTCGACCTCGCCTTCCCTCCCGCCTCCCTTCCCACCTCACACACAAGTCACCCTACGTATTCTCCCCCTACTCCCTCTTATCCCTCCCGCTAATAATCGCCTTCCTTCCCCCCCCCCCCTTCCCTGCTTTTCCCGATCCCCTTCCCTGCTTTCCCCCATCCCGTGCCCTGCTTTCCCCCCTTCCCTACCCTGCTTCCCTCCATCCCCTTCCCTGCTTCCGCATGTCCCTTGCCTTGCTTTTTCCCATCCCTCTCCCTACTTCCCCCCATCCCCCTCCCTGCTTCCCCCCATCCCCTTCCCATGCTCCCCCTATCCCTTTCCCTGTGTCCTCCCATCCTCTTCCCTACTTCCCCCCATCCCTCTCCCTGTTTCCCCCCATCCCTCTCCCTGCTTCCCCCCATCCCCCTCCCTGCTTCCCCCCATCCCCCTCCCTCTTCCCCCCTTCCCGTGCCCTGCTTCCCCCCATCCCCTTCCCTGCTTCCCCCCATCCCCCTCCCTGCGTCCCCCTATCCTCTTCACTCTTTCCCCTTATCCCAAGCACGGCTTCCCCCCATCCGTATTTCTGCTTCCCCCCCCCCCCCTCCCCCCCCCCTTCTCTGCCCTGCTTCCCCCCATCCCCTTACGTGCTTCCCCCCATCCCCTTCCCTGCTTCCCCATGTCCCCTTACCTGCTTCCCCTTGTCCCCTTACCTACTTCCCCCCCTCCCGTTTCCTTCTTCCCCATGTCCCCTTCCCTTCTTCCCCATGTCCCCTTCCCTTCTTCCCCATGTCCCCTTCCCTGCATCCCTGCAGCATCTCCTCGCCTGCCACCCCACTTTGCTCAACCCCGACATTTCACGCCCTGATGTCCCCCTCCCGCCACAGTCCATTCAGGCCAATGCACTCCCCCCACCTCCTTCTATCTGCATCCCCTCACATCCCCCTCCCCATCCCCCTCCCCACCACCAGGCGCGCGCTCTGCTAGCATGCCATCGGTCGCCGCGCTATCACGTGGCACCTCTGTGGCGCGCACATCGCCCTGTGACGCACGCTACTACACCTCACATCACCGCCAGCTTTTATCCGTTGATGGCGGGTGCGTGGATGAGTGGGTGCGTGGGTGGGTGGCTGCATGTCCACGTGCATGCTCTGCTATGTGCATGCATGTCTATGTGCATGCATATATATGTGCATGCGTATCTATGTGCATGCTTATTTATGTGCATGCATGTCTATGTGCATGCATATCTATGTGTATGTGCATGCATATCTATGTGCATGCATGTCTATGTGCATGCATATCTATGTGCATGCATGTCTATGTGCATGCATGTATATGCGCATGCATGTCTATGTACATGCATGTTTATGAGTGTGCATGTCTATGCCCACTCTTGTCCATGTGCATGCTTTTCCATGTGCCTGCTTGTTTGCTTCATCTCACTGCCTTGCTTGCTCCCACTGCCATGCTTGCTCTCACTGCCATGCTTTCGTGTCATGCCCAGCCATCATGACATTGGAGACAGTACACACCGTCACAGCACCTACACCCTAAAACCCTCCTTCCCCTTCCCCTCTCCCTTCACCACTTTCCTCGCTGTCTCCACAAGCCCCCCTCAGTCCACGCACAGATCATGCTGCTGGTGCCAGCACAGGCAACCCCATGCCCAAGGACGTTCACCCCATCTCGCACTGGCTGCTCGATGAACCCTGCAGCACCGCCCTGCAACTTGAGCGAACCACAGGCAATACAGTGCAGCATGTGTTAAATCCATTCACAACTGCATGATGTCCACGTTTCCCCTATGTTTACAGCCTCACGAGCGGCGGGAACCGAACGTGACAACCCCTCCTTGCTCCCCCTCTCCCCGCCCGCATTCCTCCCCCTCCTGCATCCTTCGTTCCCACCCGCCTCCCTCCTTGCACGCCTGCCTCTTTCTTTCCCCACCTGCCTCTTTCTTTCCCCACCTGCCTCTTTCTTTCCCCACCAGCCTCTTTCTTTCCCCACCAACAAGGTCTTAGCCGCCTCGCCAATGGTCCGCTTGGCACGCTCAGCAATGCCGTTCTGCTACGGTGTTCCTGGGTAGGTCAGCTGGTGTCGAATGCCGTTCCTCTTGAGAAACTTGGTGAATTCGGCTCCAAGGAATTCGCCACCACGGTCGCTCCTCAGCACCTTCACTAGCCGCATCGCTTGCTGCTCCACCATCGACAACCAATCCTCCTTGATCGCCGCTGCAGCATCGCTCTTCTTGGACAAGGGACGTGCCCACGTAAAACGGCTCCATTCGTCCACCATGGTGAGGAAGTACAGCACTCCCCTAGTCCCCTCAGTCCTCATAGGACCCACCAGGTCCATGTGCACCACTTCCAATGGCGCCTTCGCTGATCCCTCCGCACGTGGAAATGAGAACCGCGCAAACTTGTTTTGCATGCACGCCTCGCAGCTGCCATAGTGAGTGTCATCTCCTTGCAGTAGCAGCCCATGCACGCACTTCTCCTTGTGCATCACCTCCAGTGTTGAAATAGCCACATGTGCGAGCCGCCGATGCCAAGTCTCCAAATCCGCTTGGCCTGAGGTAGCCGACGCCTTCACCGCCGCGCTTCCTCCAATCAGCTCCTCTCCTTGCACACCTTGCTGCTCCTCCTTGGTGACGCTCTCCTTCATTGATGCCGCAGCTGCCGCCTTGCCCGATTTCCGCCAAGGGAGGACCGGGATCTGCCACATGCGCTTGTGGACATCCCCTTTCCACTGCATGTCCCAAATCAGCCGCTCATCATTGTAGGCACGATAGCGCTCCGAGCCAATCGTCTCGGTGTTCACACCCGCATCTCCCAACCGGCCGGTAGAAATCAGGTTCGCGCACAAGTCCGGCACCCACAGCACGTTCTTCAGCCCCACGAGCTCTCCATCCGCTCCCATGAACTTGGCGCATTCCATGCCCATGACCTTTGCCTTGGCGCCCGTCGTGGATGTGACTGTAGAGATGGGTGCGGGCTGAATCTCATTGAGTAGGTCCGCACGAGGAGTCATGTGCCAACAGCTCCCGGAGTCAATCACCCAATGGGTGAGGGGGTGTAGGAGAACCTTGGCAGCCATAGCGAGGTCGGTTGCGCCTTCGTTCACGAAGAAGAAGAACCCGGCCTTCCGCTCCTCAGATTTGGTGCCTTTCTCCTCGTCCTTCTCCTCTCCACTAGCTCACATGACTCCCCCACTCCTCGTGCCACCACGCTGGTTGCTTGATGAAGGCGGGGTCCAATCCTTGGGTCATTGGTAGCACTTCCACCAACGATGTCCGCGCTTCTTGCAGTAGAAGCACACCTCCCCTTGATCCCCGCCGCCATCCTCCTTAGGGCTGTCCTTGTTCTTGCCCTTCCACTTCTTAAAGCCACTCTTTCCACCTCCAACTCCATAGCCAGCCCCCTCCTCTGAGCGATCCACACTCCGCCGCCGCAAGTCCTCCTCTAGGTTGCGCGTGCGAATGTAATCCACGCTCCACTGGGGCTGTTGAGAGTTGAGGTTGATCGCTAGGGCAGACCATGACTCTGGCAGCCGTATCTCGATCTCCACACATTGCACGAGCTCCGGGTATACCACACCGCCACCTTGGAGCTTCGTGAAGATGTCCCGCATCTCATCCAACACCGATTGCATCGGCTCTCCATCAACGAACTTGATGTCGCGCAGCCGCCGTGCGAGTAGCACGATGCCGGTAGCATGTGTCGGTGAATGCACATCCAGAAGCTTCCTCCAAGCCTTGGGGCCACACTCTGGATCACCCAAGAGGTCCTTGATGTGGTCAAGTTGTTGCCCGCCAACTGCTTGCACCATTAGCATGTACGCGTCGAACGATCGCTTCATCCACGCTCCTTTCAACTCCGCGGCCTCCGGCATCTTCTCCTTCCCCTCCACCAAATCCAATAGCTTGTATTGGGTATACATCAGCCTCATGCGGAAACTCCAGTGCTCGTAGTCCTCCCCCATGAACTTCTCAATAGAGAACGCCTTCACAGGATCCACGATTGTAGGAGATGGTGTAGAAGTTGAGGGTAGCGTAGGGTTGGCTGGTTGGTGAGTCCCCACTCCTCCACCAGCAACTCCCTCCTGCTCTCCAGCCTCTCTTCTTCTATCCATCTCGCCACTAGCACCTCCGGAGTTCGTACCAACCATATTGAGGCCTTATGAACGGTGGAAACTTGAGAAATCGTTTGGAGAGAATTCTTCCAGAAATTTTGATTCTACGAAAAACGCCATCGCATACTCGATACTTCGACTTAGAACGATGTTTGACCACCAATCGAAAGTTCGGGAATAGAGCTACTAGAAAATGGTCTCATTTGTCAACACTGGTTGAGAATTCACAACGATTCTTTGTCTCAAAGTCTCAAAGCCCGAAGCAGCGACTTGCATTAGCGCCACTCGGGTCCTAGTCCTGGAAGGACTATAGTGACGAACATGTTGTCTGGGATTTTTTCGCCGCACTTCTTGAATTGGTCGCGCAGATTTCGACAACGATTGATACAGAGTCCCGCTTTCTCGCCTTCAACCATTTTTGCTGATGTCAGTTGGCTGAGCAGGCGACTCATTGTTACCGGATCTGTCGCCATATACATGTTGCGCTGTTACTCCCAAGACACTTGGGCGGGAGCCCACTCCGTCTTGAAGGAGCGGATGACAAGCTGCTCGGTAGGGGAGAGATTACGGAGAAGAATGGTGTACATGAGGAGAGACCTGTGGTAGTAGAGATTCTTATCCTAAGGAGTTCCTTCCGCCAAAAAGGTAAGGCTCCCGTCGTAGTACATCCAGATCTGCGCGGTTGTCGATGCGGAGATAAATGCTGCAACGAGAGCTAGACTACGGGCTAGGCACATGTGCTCGTGTGATCTCTGCGTTCGTTCGTTCCTTAGTCGTTTGCTTGTGTGTTCTCTGCTTGCACATTCACGGGGAGATTTTGCAAGAGTTTCACTAGCAAAAATTGACAAAAATGTGTACAACAACATTTGCAACACAGACTACATCAGAGCTAGCTAGGCTGTTGGTCGACCTCCAGCGCAACACAGTCGACCGCGCTCCACCGCAGCAGAGCTCGCACCGCTCCAACGTTGCAGAGTAGCAGCGCGCCAACGTTGCAAGTCCACGGTGTGCCAACGCTGCAGCAAGTTGGCTGCACAGCATTGCACCGGCAGAACAACGGTGCACTGTCAGAACATTATAGCTTATATATTTGTGTAGGCTATAGTGGGGTATCCCATAGGGGGTACAACCCAATCAGGGTTTCCTATATGTACTCACTTCATTCATAGTTCATTCATTCTCGTTCTATTATTCTCATGGTATCGAGCAGGTTCCCATGTGGGAACTGTGCTTAGGGCCCACCACTACTTCGAACTTTTTTTTTTTTTTTCTACCCGGAGCGCGCTCCGGGCTCTCTCTCTTACCTCTGTCGACCGGCCCTTAGCCGCCCGCGCGCCGCCCGTTCAGGGCTCACGCCGTCAGCGCGCCGCCCTAGACGCTAGCGCGCCGCCCGTCCAGGCCCCGTGCAGCCCGCGCGCCGCCCCTAGCAGCCCGCGCGCCGCCCTTAGCAGCCCGCGCGCCGCCCTAAGCAGCCCGCGCGCCGCCCTAAGCAGCCCGCGCGCCGCCCTCAGCAGCCCGAGCGCCGCTCGCCAGGCCCCAAGCCGCCCACGCGCCGTCCGCGCGCCGCCCTTAGCCGCCCGCGCGCCGCCCGCTAGGCCTCAGGCCGCCCACGCTCCGCCCGCGCGCCGCCCTTAACCGCCCACGTGCCGCCCATGCGCCGCCCTTAGCCGCCCGAAGCGCCGCCCGTGAGCCGCCCGTGAGCCGCCCGTGCGCCGCCCGTAGCCGCCCGAAGCGCCGCCCGTGAGCCGCCTGTAAGCCACCCGTGAGCCGCCCACCCCGGTCCCGCTCCCAGCCGCCCTCGCGCCACGCTGTCCCGGCCCTTCGACGCCCGAGCCGCTCGTGCCACCCGCGTCACCCGAGCCGCCCGAGCCACCTACGCAGCTGAGGAGCCAAGCCGCCCAACCACCATTGCCGCCCGTGCCGCCCGTGCCGCCTGTACAGCTGAGCGCCCGAGCCGCCCGAGCCGCCCGAGCCGCCTGAGGAGCCGAGCTGCTGGTCCTGTGGGGCTGCTGTTGCTACTGGGCCGGCAGAGCTGCTGTGTTGCCGTGTTGCTGTGCTGCTGAGCTGCCCGACCCGTCCTGTCTGGTGAGCACAGCTCCACTGCTACTGCGTGCCCCTTCCCGCACTGCTTGCACTGCTAGTCTGTCGTCATGGCTACCCCTAGTGTCCTAGCTTTTGACGCTGAGGGTCGCGCCATTGACTTTGAGGTCTGGGTCGACGACCTGCAGCTGTTCTTACAGTGCGATAGGGCAGACGGTCTTTCTCTCTTTGACCTCACCTCTGGCGCCGTCCCTGCCCCTGCTGCTGATGCTGACGCCACTGTTCGCTCACAGTGGGCCACGCACGATGCTGCTGCACGTCTTGCTGTGCGTCGCCACCTGCCTACCGCTGAGCGCGCGCACTTTAGCCAGTACAAGAGTGCCCAGACCTTGTAAGACGCTGTAGTTGCGCGCTACTCCTCCCCTGCCACTGCTGCACTGAGCCGCCTCATGCTCCCCTTCCTCTTCCCTGACCTTGCCGCCTTTCCCACTGTCGCTGATCTCATTACGCACCTCCGCACTAGTGACACTCGCTACCGCGCTGCGCTTCCTGCTGACTTCTGCGCCAAGAACCCCCCCCCCATGTACATCACTCTCTACTTTTTAGTCACTCGCCTCCCTGACTCCCTTCGTGTAGTCCGGGACCACTTCCTCGCGGTCTGTCCCACCACCCTCACAGTCGACAGCCTCGAGAAGGCCCTCCTAGCGGCGGAGAAGAGCATAGTCGCTGTAGGAGCCTCTCGAGGTGACCCCCGCGCCCCCATCTTTGAGGGGTGTTCTCCTTCCCCTCTCCTGCCCTCTGTCGCCTCTGCCGCTGCGGCCGACCTCGTTGGTCTTGAGTCGGTCGGTGC